TTTTTTCTGCCTGCTAGCCCCCAGGTAAAGGTGCAGGGTCACCCTGCTGGTTTTATTGYATGTTGATTTACTTAAATTCCTGTCTGAATTAACAGGAACCAGATTTGCTTGCAAACAGTTGGAGAGGGGTACAGGGGGTAGCAGAGACAGTAGCAGCATTGTCTGGACAATCTCTATTTGCAARAAGAGTTATATAGCATACCATCTTTTCTTTCCTTTATAGTATTCACTAAGAATGACTTTATCAGTGGCGGTAAATATAGTGGATATGTAGGCATTCTTACCTATAATCGTAGTAACTTAAATAGCTTATATTTGCAATTGACCCATGATAGTCACCTATTTAGCAAATTGCAGTTAAAGTGGCAAGAAATGGTTAGTAGAAAATTACTAACTTGGGAAAATGAGGTTGCTTAATGTTTTATTTTTAGTACTTATAAAATAGGTAAGATAAAGAGGATATAATAGAAAGTATGAAGACGACAGGAGAGATAGAATGGACTTGAGTATTTCAGGATGGTTTCTTTTTGAAGTTTAAGCAATAGAAGATAGTTTGAATTCAGTACATCTAAAYTATTAAATAGGTGTTCAGTCCTTTGTCTTGATTTCTCTCTATATACTATACCTTCTTACTGTGCTATCAGTTCTTGGAATGCCCCTTGTATTTTTATTGTACCAATCAACATGTGAAACAAACCAGCTTCCTGGTAAACACCACTGATGATTCCTCTTTAGCCTGATAATTTGTCTCTAATAAAATGAGTTTATTAACCCTTTTTCTGTCTCTAAGATTGAACTTCCTAAAAGGTACATCTGCTCAGGTCTGCTATCTTATTGCTTTCTAAGAAACCATCTGTTGGGACAAAATGGGACTAGTGTGATGTGAGCTATTTGTGATGTAATGTTCTTGATGTCCTTCATGACTGTCCTTATTAAAGGTATACTTGAGTCAATATACCTCTGCTGTTTTTAATGCTGGTATCTTTTACTTTTTTCTCTCATAAAGAAGCGTAACATTACGGATTCATTTCATAGGTTTACAAGTTTTGCAACATTAGCCCTTCTTTGAGTGGGGGCTTGACATTTTGAGATTTGTTTTAACCGGAATTATTTAATAATTCTCTGAATCTCATAATTCTATGAGTTCAGTGCACTAGGGTGAGTAATACTTGCATTTCTAAGTTCTTTTTAGATAATTAGACAGGCGAAGAGTAGAAGGTTTTGTTCAGCTGTGTGGGTAAATAGCAGGATCTTTGTTATGGATGCTGTTAGAATCCTCGTGTGTGCTTGCTGCACTATCAAAAGTGTCTTGGCTCTTCAGAGTCGTGACTTGGGTCACAACAGCCCCATGCAGTGCTATAAGCTGGAGGCAGAGTSACTGGAAAGCAGCCCAACAGCAAAGGACTTGGTAGACAGCAGCCAAATGAGAGCCGGCGTGTGCCCAGGTGGCCGACAAAGCCAATGGCATCCTGGCCTGGATCAGCAATAGTGTGGCCAGCMGGACCAGGGCAGCGATTGTACCCCTGTACTCGGCACTGGTGAGGCCACACTTCGAGTGCTGTGTCCAGYTCTGGGCCCCTCACTAGAAGAACGGCATTGAGATGCTGGAGAGTGTTCAGAGAATGGAGCTGGGGAAGGGTCTGGAGCACAAGTCTTGTGAGGAGCAGCAGAGGGAGCTGAGGTTATTTAGYCTGGAGAAATGGAGGCTGAGTGGGACCATTATCACTACATCTGCCTGAAAGGAGGCTGTAGTGAGGTGGGAGTTGCTCTCCTGGCAGGCAACAAACACCTGCACAAGCTGCAGCTGGAGAGATTCTGGTTAAACATCATGAAGAATTTCTTCATGGAAAGGGTTATCAAGCAATGGAATGGCCTGCCCAGGCAGGTGGTGGAGTYGCCATCTCTTCAAATGTTCCAGAATGACTGGATGTGACACTTAGTGCTGTGGTTTAGTTGACATGGTGCTGTTTGTTCAAAGGTTGGACTTGATGATCTTGGAGATTTTTTTCCAACYTTTGTGATTCTATCATACCATATCTACCACTTTTGATACCAGTTTACAGCATAAACTCATTTGTAGGTTTTAATTTTTCTCTCTAACTTAYCTGGATTTTATTTTTAACTTGTTGATTTATATTCCAGAAATTATTGAAAATAACAGACAATAATATCTCTTTGTTCCCCAGTTGTAAATGTTTCTTGGGCATGCATCTCTTATATTCAAACAGTGCCAAGCACCCAAGCCTGTGCTCTATGATGATATTAAATTTGCTTTCTCCTTGATCTCATTGCAGAAAGGTAGAGTCACAAAGAGACATGTACTAACCCAGAATTGACTTGAAAATGGTGTTGCTGGTAGAAATCATAAGCAACTTCAAACTACTTAGTCATTTTTTTTATTTCTGGCTGTAGTATATGGAATGTTTGGGTAACAATCAAAAGTGAAGTTTTACATTAGTTTGATGCAAAGTACTTTTCTTGCACCAAACTTATTCTCCTTYGATTCTGAATCATTCAGAAATATAGTATCTGGTTTTGCTCACATAAAATTAAATAAGGTATTACATAAGTATCTTTATCGTATGTCCTAATTACATGTAAATAAGTAAGGACATAGGATTTTCCTTCATTTCTGCATACCTAATCTAATTTGTGGGTTTTGGTGGGCTTTGTTTTCAAATAGTCTTTGTACATCTAAATATTTTGGGCTGTGCTTGCCAGGAGCAAATTGTTAACATAACTTTGAATTTTATTCTTTGTGGAATATTAAAAGTCTGAAAAATATTAAAGTAAACCCAAAAGAGCCAAACTGGCTTTTGCCCAACTTAACATCACATATGTATTGGAGCCAGAAAAGGGAATTTAAAGAATTTGAGTAAGAAGCAAGGGGGTGCTGAGTAAACAGGGCAAACTGGAGATTGTAAAATGACTTCTCCCAGGTTAGCAGCCKGCAAGGGCCAGGAAGTTGTGGAAGAGGCAGAAGGATGCTATAGTAAAGGTTGCTAGGCTACTCCAAGGTAAGCACTTACAGAGTGCTACTCAGCTATGCTGAGCATTTTTACTGCCCTGCTGCAAAGTAATGTGTGTATAGTGTTGTTTGCCTGGCTACCGGCCGGAAAGGGAAGTTTGAACTGGTAAGAAATGTTGTCCCTTTGTAGGATGAAACTTGGTCACATGCCAGTTATTACCTTTTGCAAGACTGACTGTTTTTGGTTTCGGTCACACTGACTGACAAGGAATGTTAGGAATTCTGCTGAACATGTTTGAAATGGAATAGCAAACAATAGGTCTTTGATTCAAGTATAAAAGTATAAAAATGTTGCAGGAATTTAACCTGTTCTGGTGGCTCTCATTGGTGAGCTCTCGGTTTGTCTGTACCTTCATTTCTTCTGCTAAGAAGCTTAGTGAAAATGGAATGTGGATTCTTTTCCTTTTATCTGGATTTGATGTAATTTTTGAAATATTTGTAAGAGTTGTTAATCTGTACCAGTAAAAATTAGTTCTTTCAATTGAAAGTGCAAGGTCATCAATTTTTCCTCTGTAAGGTAGGGTAATTCTTCATCTACTTTTTTACAAATGGGTTTCCTATGCTGTATTTTGCTGTGCATACGGGTAGAAAATATATGCTTATGATTCTTCTTACATGTAGTTTAATATTTGGTCTTTATCCCAGGAGATCATTTAACAGGAGGTTAAAACTAACAGTTGCTATCACAAGCAGTGACAGAGGAACTGAATATGGAATTAAAATTACRTTGTGTTGAAATGATTCCTTTCCATCTGCTGTCTCCCTCCTTGTGAGCTGTAACACAGTAACCCAGTTGGCGTCTTGTRACAGTGTTTCCTGAAGAGGTACTGCAACTCTGCCAATGAGGTTGTCTCATGAACAAGTCAAACGCTGTAGGGTGCAACAGCAAAGAAAGTATAACTTACTCTAACATTTGTGAAGATGCAGTGTATATTAACATAACAGGGACTGGGTCCAAGTCCAATGGCCTGTTGCCATTTGGGGACTCCCAAGGCAAGCTAATTCCCCTGGTATGTAGTTTCACAACTTTGTTCTGATTTGTGGCCCAGGGATCTCTTGAACATAAACTAACTTTTTTTTTATAAATTCCCTATATCGAGTTGACTTTTGTGAATTTACATCTTTGTATCATTGCAAATTCTGTAGATCTGTGTAGATGCTTTTAAAATCTATGTTAAATTATAGTATTCACATACTATACCAAGAATTACAAAGTTTGCCTATGTGTTGTGTGAACGACTGATCCATATATGATTCTCATCTGCCAATTTTACCCAATGTCRTCTATGAAAAATTATTACCTACAGTTTTCTTCATTAACAAGGCACTGTTATATAGATTTTTTTTTGCAAATGTTTCTTTTCCTAGGGGAAGGCTCCTTGTCTGTTAATCATTCCTTGTAGCTGTGGTTGTTTTGAGCATCTCACTTGTGTCTTTCATGCCTCTTTCAGTTCAGTTACATAATGAGATGAGTAGGGGCCAGGATTGGGTGCAGTATTAAAGATGGATTTTACACGGTGACATAATATATCCTGCTTTGTTTTAGAAGCCTTTTTAAAAGAATTCTTAGTATTTGTTCTTGATTTACTATTGCTTCTGTTTTTATTATTTCAGAATCTTGTTGCAAGGTGTATAATTCTCTGACAGTCCATCAGCATCTGGGATATTAGGATTTTGGGCTTTGTTAAATTATATGGTTTACTTTACATGTCCAGTATATTTCTTGTGCTAGTTTAATATAGGCTCGCACAGTTGCATAAAGAATTCATGACACTGTAGATATTTCTTGGTTTTATAGCTTRGAATAGCTTAAAATTATAAAAAAAAATTTTCATGCTTATGAAAATTGCAATAATATTTTCACAACCCTGAAAGTATACAATTATCTGTTCAGTACAAGTTGTATGTGAAATTAGTAATAGGAATGTTTTTTTTTTCCAGTGTATTAATTTACGAACTCCATCTTTTGCAGTTTTATTGCTAGAGAAGATGGAACATGATGACATTTGTAATAAAACTCTGAAGATTACAGACTTTGGTCTGGCTAGAGAGTGGCACAGAACAACCAAAATGAGTGCAGCAGGGACTTACGCATGGATGGCTCCAGAAGTTATCAAGTCCTCCATGTTTTCTAAAGGAAGTGATATTTGGAGGTAAGAAGTTTATGTGCTGAAGACCATGTTTGGTGGAACTGTGTTGAGGTTTTTGATAGAATTTTTTTTTGGTGGTAGTTTGCTAGGTTATTGTCTCAACATATGGCAAGTTTAGCTCTTCTAAGAAACAAACAGATTTTTCAGTATCTACTTCATGTGTTATACCTTTTATTATCCATTACTTCCAAATGGGAGGAGGAAGAGGGTAAATAAACATTTTTTTTTTAAAGCAAACTCATTAAGAGAAGCCTTTAAAATATTTGTTGCTCTTGATACATTCATGTATGATTGATCTAATTTTGGTAGGTGTGTTTTATATCAGATATCTGAAACTCKTAATCTCCTTAAAAAATGGGACCAACCAAATATTATCTTGTATGTCTGATAAGYAAAAATAAGGTACAAACCAGAACTTTGCCAAATATTAACTTGAATTGGTACTGTTTTTAGGAATTTGCAATGTGATTGTGTGTAAAAGTTAATACTAGGTTTAAGCTTCTACATTTATAGGAATTCTTCTTCCAGTAGCTGGAGTAAGGAGAGTGTATTCAGCACAAAATTGTTTTAACTTGCTCTCTGATTTTAAAGGTGGGAAACACGCTATGTTAAATTTGTGAATTTCTTGTTAAAGATACTATTGTGGATAATATAAATAATATGGCTCTCACTACTGATGCTATTTTTGAGTGGTGTAATGTGGGATTCATGAACTGTAGAAAGGTAACTTAAACTTTAGTTTTATTTTATTTCTGTTTTGTAAGTGCAGAAAAGCAGTGATTGCACAATAGGCTCTAAAAGCTGCTGTGCCTCACCTTGAACAGTCTACATTTCCTTTCTTTTTGGTAGGTTTTCTCTGAAGGGTCCAAGATAGCTRTTTGGGGAAGGAGGGTAGGACTTTAATCTATTTTCTCCTGCCGCTTTATACATGTTCTGTATTGTGTAATTCTTAAATAGGGTCCTATTTTGCTTAGATGCATGATATTCTACAGCATGAGGTAATACTTCTGGTATTCTCAGGATAATTTTGTATTTGCACTGCTGTTTTGTGACACTCATTTGTCTTCTTTCTGGAACCAATTTTATTTGCATCAGTCTCAGTTTATGCCCAGTTGGGATATATCTTTGGCCTCTTTTTTTTCCATTCTTTTTCCCATTCTTTCTTACTTTTTTCTTTAATTATTTTTTCTGTTGTGGGGTGGAGGTTGGGTGTAGGCGTTTCCCTAATCAGCTGTATTCCATGCTTAATTACAGGTCCTGTCCAGTCTTGTTGCTGTGATTTTAGGTATCTGAGGGGGTATGCTTTGGTGCAATTATTTTATATTCTGCTGCAACATTAGTTTACATTTTTGGAACCTACAGTATTTCTCTTCTTCGCCTTCTCTTCTGCACGCCTCTCTTGTAAAAATGTAAGTATTTAGTTAAATGATGGAAGTCTAACAGGAGAGGTTTTTAAGTAGAAAGGCTGTATTTTGCAGTATAGTTTAGACCTTCTTAGCTTCTAAACATTTTCTGCTCACTGCACCTTGATCTATTCTGTTGCTTATCTTTACTCTTTCTTKAAAAGAAAAGCAAATAAATACCCTGGTTACAGCAGTGGTTTTTGTTTTCAAAAGCATTCCGGTTACCAATATAAGTATGTGGGTCTCTTTAAGACAAGAACGCAGTATGTTTCAGCAAAATTCTAAGCATCATTTACACATACTGAGTGCTGAAGGTCCGAGTGAAATTTGCAGACTTTTTATTAGGAAGAAAAAGAGCAGTTGATGCTGCTCAAGTTGAGGCAGCTAACACTTTCAGCTAGTCTTCCAGAGTCTGCCAGTGCTTGGAAATGYTGTGGGAGTATTTTCATGCGAGCCTTCCAGGCTTTATGTTCTCAGGTGTCATCCTAGACAGCAGAACAGTGCTTTCTAGGCCCTGCACGTGTATCCTTTTGCTTTCCAAACCAGAGCTTTAACTACTGTATTTATTTTACTTTGGCACATGCTTTCAAATTCCCAAACAAGAGTTCTTCTCTTCCAGCCCTACCCTTCCATTGATCATTACACATTTCTGAGTAGTGTGTCAGTCTTGGTTTTGTGTGGAGCCTGAAGGAGCAAATATGCCTGCAGATTTCCAAGTGCTGATGGTGTGCTTCAGCAGTCATCTTTACAGTAGCATGTGTCTTGGTTGTACATGCCCTTGGCAAAGCCAAGGAAGCATTTACTGTACAGCAGAATCAGCAGTTGCTTTTGTCTGGCACATTAGTATAAATTTAAAGTGATCCATGCAGCAGTGCATAGTAACCTCTGCTCTAGAAGATGAATTGTAAAATGAGAACTTTACCTTCAAATTTTCAGCTTCTAAAATATCTAAAACCAGCAASTGTTCACTGGTGAGATATAGTAAGACTTAAACCATATTTGATTGCAGGAAAATAATTTTAGTAATGACAAAACGTATTTTTGGAAGTGTATTAGTTTCTGTGGTTTTAAAATGTATATTTCAAAGACATACCTGTGGTTTTGGCCTTTTGCTGAAGACAGAAAGGGACATGGCTTTTGCTCTTCAAAAGAAAGCTCTTTCTTATAAGCTCTGTATGCATGGGACAATTGTATGTGACCTGGTGAAATGGAATACACAAAGTAGCTACTTGTGTAGATGGAAGAGTTAATAGGTAGYTGTTTTCCTAGATAATGATGGATTAGTACCTCCCAAAAACTCCACCATAATGTCTTTAGGCTTCCTTTTTGCAGCTTTTCCCCCATAGTGCTGGCTCTTGATACTTGATATTAAGACTGCTTTCATTAAAAGGCTGTTACTGTGTTGGTCTGTTTAAAACTTTACAGCCACCTTCTTGGCACTCTTGAGAACTCTCTTTAGATTAAAGGCTTGAATTGTAAATACAACTAAAGCTAACAGTGTGACACAACTTTTTGTAAGAGGTGACTTCTTTTTAGTTAAWTTTAATGTTTTGCTTAACTTCAGAGTTAATGCTAAAATACATTTAGAAGGGTCTGAACAAGGGAATTCCTTGAATTTAGARCACTTGCTTGCTGAGAGATTTTTTTACACCTTCTCCAAGGACACAGATGAGCTGTACAGGAGAATTCCTCCATCAGGCATAAAATATGTATGTACTGCAGGAAGTGTTATATTCATTATGGTCAGAATACCACTGCTTTAAAACAAATTTGAATTCATTGTTTTAACTTTCTTTGAGTATACAAGCAAGGGCAGAGATTAGACCAGAAAAATCAGGGTGAAATTATTAAGAAGCCCAAGACTTTTTTTATTCCTTTTTCTTTTGGCAGCATGCACAGACTGTTTTCCTCAGCTTTTGATGACGTATTAGCACTGTAAATTCATTAGTTTTGTAAGATTATATGCAATGCAAAAATTCTCAGACCATAGATAACAAAGTACTGCTGATATTTGTGCTGATATGGTGCAGTTTGCTGTTTTATTATTTATTAAAGAGATGTTGTAAGGTCTTGTATAATGCTGGCTTTTTCTCATTAAACAGTGACAGAACAACTTAACTGATGTGTGTTCTTCTCCCTGAGACATCTGCTCCACTTGAGGTGTCATTTCTAGTATTAAGAGGTGCATAGCCTTTATTTCTCCAGTGCAGAATGCATTTCTCCTCATGTTGGAGAGTTCAGTCTAGTCCTGCAAAGCTTKCAGGTGGTTTCTTTGCACCTCTGGAGAGAAGGAGCAAGAGCAATAGTTTGTATTCTGTTTTTTTTTCCATTGCCTGCTCACTTCACTATTCAAAAGCAGCAATAGGTTGTGCTTTGTATCTTGTTCCACAGGTAGTGGTTCCCTGGCAGGAAGAGAAGTGAAGTGGGTGTGGGAGATGAGGGGAGGAACAAAAAATCAAATGCAGTCATAAAGTCCACTTAAGGCTTACTTTCTGAAAGGAATAATTCCCGCTTCCACAAAAATGACTGTGAAAGCTGTCCATTCCAGCAGTGGTAGAATAGGAGCTCCAGAGGAACAGCAGGCAGTGTGCTGTCCCAGCCCTTTTTAGGGGCTTGGGTCATTTGAACAAGCCAAGGATTGGGTATACATGCCCAAAGAAGGTAAAAGCAACATGCAGCTCTTCTTTGAATGGAGAGCATTACAGAAATTCTTGCAGTTATTGTTACTACAGTAGGAATTCCTGTGATGCTTGATTTCTCTGCCTGACACAGGAAAGATCTCTTCATGCTACCACCTTTCACTGGGAACAATGTTGTTTTGTTTGGATTTTGTGGGTTTTTTTTTTCTAGTATGGAGAAATCAGTTGCGTGTGCGTGAAATAATTTCTCAATTTGTTGCATCTTCAGTGGGAAGATAAGTTAACTGGCCTTTAGATATAATGAGGGGATTAGAAATGCAGACTTCCAGATAAAGCTGAGAATTTTCTGTATTATTAAAAAAAAACAAGCAAAAAAAAAAAACAAGTATGTCCATCTAGGTAAATTGTTGTGAAATATTTGGAAAGGGAAATGAATGCTCTGCTGAGGATTTCTTTTTATTGTTTGTTTGTTTTTTGGTGGGAGGAATGTTGCTTGTTTTCCTGTCATTCAGACTTTCTATTGTAAGTCGGATTTGTGTGAAACTAGCATTTCTATAGAAATAGCTTCAGACTTAAATTTTGAATAGGTGTGCAGTCTTAAAGTCACATACATCAAATTTGCTTAATCACTGTAAGTGGAAAGGTGCACAGTGACAGAAGTAGAGCTGTATTAAAGGCATTCACCATTGACTGGGAAATTGTGGTGAAATTTAGTATGTGGTTGGACAGATACTTGTTTGTTCTTGTGTTTCTTGTGTTCTTGTTGTTTCTTTCTCAGAAAATAACTGTTAAAAAAATTACCTTTTGTAGTTATGGAGTGTTGCTGTGGGAACTGCTTACAGGAGAAGTTCCTTACCGTGGCATTGATGGCCTCGCTGTGGCTTATGGAGTTGCTGTCAATAAGCTTACTTTGCCCATTCCATCCACCTGCCCTGAACCATTTGCAAAACTAATGAAAGGTATCCATGTTGTTTCTTCCTATGTATTTAAATAGTTATGTTTTTGGGGGTATGTAATAATCATGGGGTTGCAAAATAATTTGATAGTGTGCTRTGTACCTCATTTGGTAATGTGCTGTGTATCAAGGATTTAGTTTTTCTTTACACAACGATCTGGTGTTAGAGTTGGGTGTGTTTCTGAGGGAGTCATACAGTGTTACTATGTTGCATTGAAGTTCTTCAGTGGCAAAAGCAGAATTTTTGCTCTGATTCCACAGAATTTGTTTTGTACTGAAATTGCATTAATTTTCATAAGTTACAGGATTATACTACAGATTAGTATGAGATAAGATTAAAATCCCAAGAGGAATAATTGCAAATGCCATTTTTCTTCATGTTTCTCTTTGGGTGTCAAAAATGGTTTGGAAATACTTTATAGAGAAATAAACATTGCTTGCTAATGGCTATTTCCTTGTGTTTCGTAATTTTTTTCTCTCTTTTTTATGGATCCCCTCTGGACAATATTGCTAGTTTTGCTATTTCAGATGCTAAAGGTAGACACGAAAAAGAATTTAATACTCATACAAAAGCAATCCTCTGAATACAAGCAGGTAGATGTAAGCTCTGTAAATTGACACAGGACTAGGGAAGTCTTGCAGATAAGGAGAACACACTAGAACTTGAAATGCAGTAGCAAATAAGTTGAAATTCACATAGTTCTGAGAAATTTCTATGTGCTGTTAAAAACTGATGGGATTTCAATAAATTCTAGAATGCTGGGAGCAGGACCCTCATATCCGACCATCGTTTGCCTTAATTCTTGAGCAGCTTACTGCCATTGAAGGAGCAGTTATGACWGAAATGCCTCAAGAATCTTTCCATTCCATGCAAGATGACTGGAAATTGGAAATTCAGCAGATATTTAATGAATTGAGGACCAAGGAAAAAGTAAGTTTATTTTTGCAATTGTATGGCAGTGAAGGAAGGGTATGTGTGTATGTATGTTTGTGTGACACAGCAGTCTTGGACTTTTGAATTGCTGCTTACTGATGTACTCATGCAAATATATGGACAGTTGAAAGATATCCTCACCTGTCTCCCCAGAGAAAGCAGGTTGTAGATCTGTAAATGTGGCATTCTAGGCTCTTCTCTTAAATGTGTTACGTACAAACATACAAGAAAAAAATATCACTTAAATTGATTTTATGCCTTAGTTAATCTTAATAACTGCAAACTTTCAGCTACTTTTGGACATTCTCCTCAGCTGTGAGAATGAAAAGCCTTTCATCCCATTATATGACTGTATCCCATGGCTTCTTTTCCAAAAATGGAAAGAAATATCTTTCTTCTTGCTGAACAGACTGATCATATGGATGCCTTTTAGTGTTGCAGTGTGAGATATATTATTAATGATAAAGTTATTAATAAGGTCAAACTCTTACACATGAATCAGTAAATCCAGTTTCTCTTGTGTATTATTCAGATTTCTGCCACTGATCTTCTTTCTATACTCTGATGTTTGTACTAAATAAGTATTCACTGTCAGGTCTCTTTGTCTTCTCTTTTACTTACTTCAACTTGGTTTTAATCACCCTGAGTTTTATATTTTACCTTTAGACAACTTGATAAATGTAACAGTTGAAATAGGCTGGGTATCCTCTTGAGTCCCTTTTAGAAATGCTTCTAGAAAACACAGATTCCTTTTTTTCAGATGTTTCTTGCAGTATCGTATTGCCCAGTATATATTTGATGTGATTTTTCATGAAGCAATAATAGACAATAAAGAAAACARTAATTAAGAGACATTGACTTGTAAAGAAACTATGGAAGGTGTAGTCACTAACTTTGACTAAAGCAAGAACTATACTCTTACTTGCAAGTCGCTGTTTGTAGCCTTCGTCCTTTTTTTGTCATCCAATAGCACTATGTGGACTTTTGGCTAGTTTTGGGTGTGGCCTTACAATGTGTACTGTAACATCAGTATAGTGGTATTAGAATTTATTGATTACCCATAAGATTGCAGGACCATTACATACTTCCCATCTACAGTTTCTTCTACCTTCTGCATTTACCTCTTCCATTTTGCTTCACAGAGCCAGATAAGTATTGTCTGTGTAGTCTGTTCCGCCTRTAGCAGGCATACAGTGTGCTAGAGCTGAACTGTGTGCCTCAGTAGCTGTCAGATCTCTTCCTTTGCAGTTGAGTTATAGTCCCTTTACAGAGAGTAGAAGCTTCCTTTTTTACTTGCCATGGGTTACCAGCTACTGTGTTCACTTGCCTCAACCTGCCATAGAGCGTAACTCTGTTTTTGGCCCCTCCAGCAACTGCTCAGCCAGCCATTTTCCTCTTTTTACTGTAGGAGCAATTGTAACAGGCCTTCCTGTTGAGGTTTTCTGTTTAATTTTTTTTTTCTGTAGGCATTAGTCTATTTCCTATCCAAGAAAAATCTGACTAAATCAGGTTTAGAATTAAATAAGACAGTAAAGATATTTGTGGGAAGAGTAATCTTTTTGGTGCCAAAGTGATTTAAGTTCAATTAGGAGGGGGAAAGTTAAAATGAAATTTACTTTATATATGCCAAAGCAASTGCATCTCCAGAGGCATCTACCCTAATGAGGTATACTTCTCTAAGAATGAAAACACCTAACTTTGACTTACACAAGGTTTTCAGATATGCAAAGTTTTTTGATTTGGCATACTATCAATTTTGCTGTCAGCTACTAGAGAGAAAGTAATGTCTGTAAAGTATTTCAATAATAATAATAATAATAATAATAATAATAATAATAATAATAATAATAATAATAATAATAATAATAATAATAATAAATCCTCTGCATGGAGCCTCATTCCTCTGGTAAAAGAGGAACTTCTGTAGCTGGAGCAATTTCCTCAAGGGCTTGCTGCTAATGAGTGATGGTGACGCCTACTCGAAGAGAAGATCATAATCTTATTTTGACAAATGTTCTTGAGCAACTTAAATACAGAATTCTTTCCAAGCTTTCTTACAATGGGTATTTTAATTGTAGAGCAGTGTGGAAACATTRCATAACTAATTGCACTAAGTCTGTTTTTAATTAGTTTATTTGGAAAAGAGTAAATACTTAATTTCTCATTGAAGAAAAACATTTTCTAGACTGCCATTTCAGTACTTACTGGCCCTCAATTTTTGCCTAGTTACTGAGCTTCATGGAACTTGGATTTGAGGACTGTGAAAGATGGAAAATCAAGTGTCTCCTAATGTGCCTTTGCTACTGTAYTAATGCAGTTATAAGAATCTTTCCTATTTTTCACTAAAGTACATTTTTTCTAAATCTGAATTTATGCAGCTTCTGTGTTCAGCCCTTGTTTTAGGTAGTTGTGTTTTGAGTGGACAGGAGGATTTACCGGAGTCTTTAAGTTATTAAACATCTTAAAAAAAACAAAACAAAAGAAAACAGAAGAACACAACTCAAAGCCTTACTTGCGGGCATGAAGACAGGTTTCTCTGAATTTCCAAGGGGCAGAATTGCCTGAAGCAAAACGCTCTATGTTAGAATAAACATTTGTTTCCAATATTATGCTAACACAAGCTCACTCAAAATTAGTATACCATATGAAATTTGTCAGTCGTTTCAATTAAATTTTAAACCCATGATAAACAGTGTATTTATGCTAAAGCTGTAAAAAAACAAATCTTCATGAAGAACAGACCCTTCTCATTGAACCAGTTTGCATCAGTGCCAACCTGTCCTTTGACATMCATAGTCTTTTTGGCAAGAACATTTGAATAGCGCCTCATTTGAAAACACTGAAGTACTATAGTTCAAGAMGTAATTTATTCAAAGCAAAGTAGGAGTTAAAAAAGGAAGAGTTGGATTTTTGCTTTCACTGTATGAAATAAGAAACTCTTCTGACATACAACATTGCTGGAAACCAATGAGCAGAAGTAGGCAGTCTGCTCTGAAATCAGAATAAAACAAACAAAACCAAGCAACATCAGARTCATAAAATTGTGATAAAATTAATTAATTTTAAATAGAAATAAAGTTCTTAGATACCCTGAAGTTCTAGCATAATTTTATTTCAAATGAGTTGAACTCAATTTCAGTCCAGGTGGAATTTATACAATCATATGAAAAAAATATGTTGTGAGAAACATATACAATATGAATCACATGTAGTTCACCTTTTCCTGTGCTTTCAGTACAGTGTTATTAGCAATATAGACTATAAATGTTCTGTGCAAGTCTATTTCCTATGTAGTATGCCCCATACTGTGAAGGAAGGTCTGAAAYGAGGGGGAGGTCTCAAATTTCAGATGTATTTTAACAGATTTTGCACATTAAAGATTAAGACCATTTTAAGATGTTAGGCTTACAGCTGTTTAGCCTTGGGTATTCATTTACTCTGAAAAATTAACTAACTTCCTTACTAAAGCTTTTCCTTTTCCAAAATTAAAACAAAAAAGAATAAAAGAAGAACAACTCTTCTTAGAGTGGTGGCTGGGGAGTCTATCCTGTAATTCAGTGGTTAGTAGCTGTTTGTTACAGATACCTGCTAGATTTTAATTAAGAAATAGCTGTCTTCTGTCTTATGACTTAGTTTATCCTATTGCACTAATTCACATTCAGTGTAATACTGATTGCTTTTCTAGATAGGAAAGTGCTATTTAATACATGGCTGAAAAACAGGAAAGGTTAGAGAATTTAAGATAAAGACAATAATTTGTGTGTTCGTCAGGTCTTTAGCTTTATGTTAAAGTGTAGGAACTATCCAAGGGCAGCCCTYGTGCTATGCAAGAGTTTCTTGTCAYGTGAAATACTTTTAAGTGCATTTTCTGCTGGGCTGTTAGTTGATAATATCTGATTGCATGTGTTTGTCCCCATTGCCACTGTTTACCTGCTTTTACTAAAGGGAGTCAAATTAAATGGTTAAAAGGAAATCTGTATAATGCATGATTCTGAATAAGAATCTTGGTTTATTAAGAACAGAGGACTATCAGAAGATTGTATGTGCATATTGCATGCATATAGTGCATCGTAAAAATAAATTGGGAAATACAACCTTTTGTGCACTTCATATGTCCTTTACTACTGGCTTCGCATTATTACTTACTTTCACTTTTGTGAATCCTGCTTTCAGGAGCTTCGATCACGAGAAGAGGAGTTGACAAGAGCAGCTCTTCAGCAAAAATCTCAAGAAGAATTACTGAAGCGCCGTGAGCAGCAGTTAGCAGAACGCGAGATTGATGTACTGGAACGCGAGCTGAATATCATGATATTCCAGCTAAACCAAGAGAAACCCAATGTAAAGAAGAGGAAGGGGAAGTTTAAAAGAAGCCGGTTAAAACTTAAAGATGGACACAGAATTAGTTTGCCTTCAGGTTTGCAGTTTTTTTAAAGTTCACAGTACCTTAATAAATGTGCTGGCTTCCTCAGTTCCTTGGTTGATGTTTTCAGTGTTGGCTACTACTGTATTTTATTGCTTCATTCTTCTACTGTGATGCACAGAAGGTTTAGGTAAGAATTGTATAGCTCCCTCCCCGCAAGGCAACAACTTTCACATATCATATTCTCATGGAGTAGTCCTCATTTCATCTGGGAGAATGATTCAGCTACAAGTCCATCCCGTTTGGAGGGAAAGGTCACTAGCATGAGAGCCACATGATTCAAGACTGGTTCAAAGTTCAGATTTTTGTTATCATTGTTTCTGTACAGACAGAAAAATACCTTTTTAGTACATGCCAGAACTTTCTAGCATGATCCAGTGCTAGTGTTGTATGCCCTAAACTTGCAAATGCCGAGCAGAAAAACAGCGCTTTGAAAGGGCTGGGGGATACAGCTGCTGTAGGTCCAAATTACACGCCTATTGCAGTCAATCTTCAGTGCTTTATTTCTTGCAAGAAAACACTCTAACAGAAGCAGCAGCAGATTTTCAGAATGCAAATATTGTATAATTTGAGAGTTAAAGCATTTCATTCTACTCATGAATGTGTTAAAATGCCCCCTTTGCAAAGGAGGCCTGTGTTTGTAGACTGGTTCTTTTAGTTGTCAGTGTCTGTAAGGGTTCAGAGGTGCTATTTTAATGTTGCCACAGGATAGCACTACACAAACTCAAGGTTTCACCAATGGCTGGAAAGCCTTCATTAGTGGTACCAGCATCCTGGTGTTGATGGGCTTCCTTTCAGTGGCTTCCAGGACAGGTCTGTCAGTTTATTAAAAATGAAGTAAGAGCTTGATGCTATGCTAACACAAGTCTGATCAAATTGTAGCTGGCTGGTAGCTGGAAGGAGACAAGGGAGGCAATAATATTTAGAGTAGTATTTCAGCRCTAGTGAAATAAGTTTATTTTTTCTTACTTTAAAAATAAGAGCAAATAAGATAAAAGCCATCCTACAGCCTCCCWGACAAACATGTTAGATTTATGCTGGATTGCAAGCCTAAATTGAACATTTGGTTCTTTGTTTCCAGTTCTGCTTATATGTAACTTGAAATATTGATAAAATAAACACTTTTATTCAGTATAGCAGTTAGCTCCTTGTTCTCAAGAACCTCCAGATGAACTTGTCCTTGAGACAATTCTATTCTAAAAATAGTGTACAATATAATTGCACTGATGACAGGGATTACAGGGTCATATTGTTGAATATAATTTCATACCTTCTTTCCTCCTCAATATTTGTTGTTGTTTTTTTTAACTTCTTTGCTGTAAATATCTATATTTCTGAAGTTCGCTGTATGATTTTCTGACATGAATAGATGTGACTTTTCTTTGTGGATGCTTTTTATTATGGTATATATGAATTACGTGTTAAAAAAAATAAGGCGAATCTGATTGCCCTGAGTATTGATTCATTTGAGATGAAACAGTGAGGAGTTTTTTGCCCCTCCTGTGACAATGAAAAAGATTGAATAAGAGCTTGTGTTATTTATGTGTCTTACCTGGACCTACTTGCTGTTGTTCATGTTCTTGCAAACCTGTCTCATGAAGGCATGAAATCCTGCTTGTTTGACTCAATATCTAAATTGTTGCATTTAGAGTTTTCAATGTTTTTAATATAAATTTCTCTTGCACTGTCAAGTTTAATTCATTATATAACTTTGTTTTAAGAAGTAGTGTGGCATGTTCTTCTGAAATGTTTTTATTCAGAACATTAACTTCATCTGTTTTGCTCTCTTACAGATTTCCAGCACAAAATAACAGTGCAGGCATCCCCCAACCTGGATAAGAGGAGGAGTTTAAACAGTAACAGCTCTAGTCCATCAAGTAGTCCCACAATAATTCCTCGTCTTCGAGCTATACAATGTAAGTCTCCACTCATTTGATCAACAGAGAGTGTTCCATATACTTACTGAAATGTTCATAATAGTATCAGATTCCAGGCATATTTTTGTCTAATTTCCACATCCCTTGATTGGTTCTAACAGTTACAGCTTCTTTGAAAAGAGTCGTGGTCTTGATAAAATGCTAAATAATTTTCAGTAACTCAGAATTATTGTGAATGCTTTAAATTGTATGTTAATTACTTCAGGAGCCAATTTGTAAATGGACTGGAATAAAACAATGACAAAGAGAAATTTATGACAAAAGGCAAATTGTCACATTTAGAACCCAAGTAAAATGGAAAACAAGGTTTTAGTAGATATTGGAGTTGATAAAGGAGAAGAAAGGTTCAGAGAATAAGAGAGTCTTGTAAGATGGAAAGACAAAGGATGAGCCAGTAACTCAACTTTCTTGTATGAAAAGAAAATCAAGCTTTAAACAGGTACACATCCAGAAGGTACCTTGCTTGCGGTTTTTTGAAGACAAGAAAAAGAGACAAAAATATTATGTACACTCAAGCCCGAAAGGAAGGTGGAGGTAGCAGGAATATGATCATGTTTTATTACAGTGAAGTATGCATTTATATTTGGGATTGAGATACACACAGATTAAATAGTTCAAACAGGATTCACTGCTTTCATTTGTACTGTCTGATCTATTGTGCAAAGTAGATTGTTTAATTATCCATTTCAGAGAGTAATGCCTTTAGCTTCTTTCTCTTTATGAAATCAGTGGAACCTGTTCCAACTGATTGTTTATGGATGGTGGCCATCTTCACTTGCAGGCATAGTCGCCTGTGAGGGAGATTGCTTCAGAATCTGCTTTTTCAGCTATAAATAAGGAAAAGGGAAAATCAGAATGTATGAGGATTTTTGCCTACATGCTGTTCTGTAGCTAGTTTAAAGATGAATTGATTTTTAAGAATGAAAATTTATTTAAAGTTTGGATAGAAATTAGATTTCTCATCTCCTTTRGAATGCCTCTGCCTTATGAAATCCTTTTCATTTTTAGTGTCCAAAGGGGAGAAAGGATGGCTTCTCTGTCCCTTCAGTGGTTTTTTGAGCTGCAGTGGCTACCGTTGGCAATGGGCAAAGGCCTTTACTACCCATGTGTTGTGGTTAAAGGAGAGAGGTGGACAAACCCTGTCTTACTCTTCTTAATAAAAGTTTGAGATGCAAGGAAAATAACATTTTTCAGATGTTAGCTGACACAGTATCTGTGTTGTCAATAATTTCCTGTCCTCAAAATCATGGTTGGTTTTTCTGATTGGTTGGTTTGCTTTGGTTTTTGCAGAAAGGTAAAGAAAGGCTTTTCTTAGTAAAATGTCATAATTACACATAAACAAGACTGTCTCTTTTTTTTTTTTTTTTGTTCTTCTTTCTCTGCAAGGAAATGCTTGGAAATGAAGCAGATGTCAGGTATTGGCATGACTCTGAAACCTTGAGTTTTCTGTGTTTGTTTTTTCAATTGCGTACCCTTTTATAAGCTATAGCAGTGCCACTCCTTGCATGTATGCTAAGTGCCACTGGGGATTTTCTTTTAATTTTTATTATTTGAAGAGGCATAGGATTCGAGCATGCAGGACAACATAAAGGCTGTCATTTAAAAGAAATACTTGTCTGCTTCTGTGTTTGGATCCTTAGGTTTTATCCAAAAGCTTATCAGGTATCTCAGGAGTATACAGCTGAAACAATTTAGCTTCCACACCCATCTGCACCTGTGCAAAATAAATTCTCTTTCCCACAATAATGTTTTATCTTGATTTARCTTCAAAGTGTCTTTGTTTCAAGATGACTTGCTCACATGCGGGTGATTTGGACAGGCATAGGTAACAACTGGTTACTTCACTGCTTCACTTTGTCATGAGCAACTCTAGTTTTCAAATCTAAACATTAAGTTAAATGAAAAATAYAGCCAATTTTTTATTTAAGCAAATTCTGCTGATTTTGAAAGTTTTAGAGGGAGGAGGAAACCACTAAGGTATATATTGCRTAGGAATGTGGTTGAAAATGGGAGTGTCAGGTAGGCAAGTACAGGGTCGGGGCTGTAGGATCAGCTGAACTGGCAAGAAGGTGTATGATGAGAAAGGAGAATCTGTACAGTGAAGGAGCAGGGGAACTATGGTCATGTTAATGTCATCTCCATTATCATGCTGTTATAACTGGCTACATTCTTTTTCTCTTAGGTCTCTCCATCATATCTGTAAGCATGCCATCATGATACCAAGCTAGTGCTTCACTTAGTCAGTAGCATGTGAAAATCTGCCTTCCCACGTCTGGTTCTAGAAAGTGGGTCCTCTAAACCCTACAGCAAAAACGCATCATAAGAAGATGCTTAATGCCTTTATAGATCCAGGCATTATGACACAAAAATAAAAATATGAGGGAAACAGTCCTGTTTCTGAAATCAACTTGACTAAGACCTCTACTACATTCTCTTAATTTTTCCTCAGTGATTCCAAAAACAGATACACACACAASTAATGGCCGAAGAAACAGTGTATATGTGTACCAGCAAGATGTAGATATCACAAGTGAATATGAACTTCCCAGTGGGGTTATGAAAAAAGGCAAGAATTCATTATGTTTCAAAGGTGCTGGTTCTGTTTGATTTATCAGCTGAGACAGTGACAGACTAAGCATTTAATGGAGGCTAGACACTTTAAAAGTATAATTTGTTTTGGTGTAGTGAGAAAGAATGTTAATCATGGTCACAATTGGAATATTCTGTTTCATTTGATACCAGTTGTTCCACAGTATATGTTTTCTTCATTGAATTTAAGTGCTCAGTCTAACTCACTCGTCTGAATTACCTAAATGAAAGGTTCTCAGTTAAAGGAAGCATGGAAAATATGATTGCTTTGCTGATTTATCTTTAATCTGGGTCTCTTGTCATCTCATAAATTACTTTTCTTTCTTGCTCATCTTTTTGGATCAGTGAAGTTTGTGTGGTGGTTTTCATAAAAGAAAAAGAAAATCTCTATTTTTTTCTACTCCTGTCTGTGTTAACTGTGTTAACTGTTTCAAAATGGTTTGCAGTGGACAAGATATTCTTTTCTGTCAAAATATTTTGGGTTTAGAGATAGTATTTATGTGTGTGTGTTTCGTTTGTGTTTTTAAATCCAACCTCTAGTAACTTCGGATGAAAGCAACAGAACTTGGGGAAGGAGCACAACTTATCACCAAGAAGAGTTTGAAGATGTGAAGAGAAGTTTTAAAAAGAAAGGTTGTACATGGGGACCAAGTTCAGTTCAAATAAAGGATCGTGCAGATTGTAAGGACAAGTATGTCTAGTACATTTTTGGTTTTTGGTAAAACTAAAGCATTCTTGGTAATTAAATCACTGACATGAGTAGTGAGTGAAAAAGGTTCTACAGTTTCTAGTCACAGCACAAACTCCTACCTTTTGTAATTTTGTAATCTCCTAATTTAATTTAGAAATTAGGTTAATAATGGGTAGCTCTCCCACTTMGACTTGAGGATAAAACACCTATTTATGCTAAAGTTTTTTTTACGGTTATCTATTACCCTTTATCTCTGTTTTTTGAGATTTAAACATACTGGGATGCTAACATACTAATGCATACCAGACATTCATGGCCTGTCTTTCCTGCCCTTCCTCACATTACTTTGAGGAATTGCAAGCATGGCCCCCGCTGGGTACTTTCATTGTGATTAAGTAGGACTAACTGATTTGGAATATTTGAGACACAGTTAACACCAGCAACATAATTTTTGCTGACAAACAGAGGGTGAAAAGCTTATGAAAATCAGTTGGATACCTTTACTTTCATATTATTTTTTCTGATGGCTCAAAACCAGAGATTAGCAACTATTCTGGAGTAAGAAATAGTTTTCTTTATTTCTCTAGTATATACAATTATTTATGGTGCCTTTTTTTATTTTTCTTGGTAGGGACATCCACTTATTTACCTGTGTTAGAAATGGGTTCCAGACCATCAGTTGAAACTGGCTTTATATTATTTTTTTTTGGTTTAAAGTCACTCAGTTTAATAAACTTCCAATATTCACATCATTCTTTGACACAGTGAAAATTGTCCAAGTTTTCACAAATTTGTGTTGTTCAATAGGTAGTGAAGGCCCATTTTTTAATTGCCTTTCTTTCTTAGGCATCAAATTTTTATAAGAAAAAGAATACCTGACATTAAGGCACATTTACATTTATAATCATATGATTCAGTGCTACTACATCTTTTTATTGCCTTTGGAAAGGTTTACAAGTTTTGTACTACAGCTTTATAATTTGAAAATAAAGTAATTTTCTCACTGAGTTTATGTGAGCATGGTAACCTCTGTAATCTCAAAATAACTATTGTTATTGCAGAGTAAGACCCCTTTCAGATGGCAGCAACCCTTGGTCAACTGTTTTAATGAAAAATCAGAAGGGCGTTCCCTTAGCTTCTCTATTTGTGGACCAAGGTAAGACCTATTTTTGAAAAAGTGAAAGTAGCCATATAATAGTATTAAGTTTACCTCCAGTGCTATAAATTGTATTGCTTGAATTCCTTAAGGATTATGCAGATTATTAGCCATGCTGCCAACCATTTTCCTCTGCAAAAAAGCACTAGCTTTACATTTATATCATTAGCAACTAAGAAATATTCATAGTCTGTGAGCAGTAACATAGAGATTTTTTTGCCCATGTTTATGAGTTGCAGGCTGCTCTGTGTATGAGATCTGCGGTCACCACTTTTTTGTTTCTCTTAAAAAGAATCTAAATTAGTAATTGTCTTGACATTTAAATAATCACTGATGACATGGTTAGTAGGCTCTGCATAGCTGTTGAAAAAATGCATAGTTTTTTAAAAACCTGTAAACCCTGATGTATTCCCAGATATTAGTTCCCTGTTTTTTTGAATGAGACCTATTATCTAAATTTTCAAGAAAAAAAAAAGTAGATTTCAAATCCTGAAAGTTTTTTAGACAACATGTTACTGTTTACAGGTAAAATCACAAGGAAAAACATATTGGATCTCCTTAGAATCAGGAACATAATAGCTGCATGTTGCTTTTTACATCCATTACTGTAATAGATTGTGACTATAAAATATGCATAGTAGTTTCAAAGTTTGCMCTCACTTTTTCTATGCTATGGTTTCTCTTATCTGAGAAAATTAAGTTACCACTGTCAGGAAAAAAGCCTGTGATATAACTTGGTGTCCATACCAGCAGCTAGATTTATGCCAGCTAGAAGAGGAAATAATAACCTGCTTGGACACTGCTGGAAAAGGGCATTTTAATCTTCATGTATCCTGGTAAGGGTATAAATCAAGGCTTCACAAATAAAGATTTAGAGATATTTTTACCTACTAAAACCCTGCATACAAAGTTAATATATTTGAATTTCAAGTATTTCTGTGTTTATTCTCTTGCCTTCAGTAGTTCATAACACATGTAAGTCAATAATACCTCCTTTATATTTGTCATTAGGTGTAAGATGTCAAATTTACTTTTTACTCCAAACCACCGTGACCTAATGAAATAATCGGGAAAAATTATAGTAACTGACTGGATTTTGGATCTCAACTTAATTGAGAGTATTGTTAAGAATATATTTCAGATCTTACCTGGCAGTTTGTATATAGTAAATTACTTCTCTATAATCCATAAACTGAAATATTTTCTGTGTTATTTAAAAAGCATWATCAAAGTGTTGTAAACGCCATGAGGTTTAGACTTAGGATGTTTTTCTGAGCTTCTGATGGCATCTAAATGGATTGTACAGTCCTTCAAGCATATCCTTGTGCATTTTAAGAGAAATAATGATGTACATATGCAGATATGCAATAGCTAAACAGTTGGATTGCAGTCTTAAAGGATATCGTGATGTTTTACAGGTGCCTGTACTGATAAGAAACTTATTCCTGAAGGTTTGGACAGTAAAAGACCAAAGCCAATTAAGTTGCCCAATCAGGCCTATATTAATCTACCTCTTTGGAGAGATGATCAGGGAGAGAATACAGTAGAACATGAGAGCTTTGAAGAAGGAACCTCTGCTAGTTCTACAAATAGTACTCCTCAAATTACACCTACAAACAGTCTGAGCAGGACGCTGCACAAAAAGAAGACTGATTCTGTGCTGTATGGGTGTGCTGTCCTCCTTGCATCTGTTGCCCTGGGCTTAGATATCAGAGAGCTGAACAAATCACAGGGTCCAGATGAACTCTTGCCTAAAGATGAGAAGAAGAAGCGTGATGGAATATTTCAGCGTGCTTCAAAATTTCGCAGGAGTGCGAGCCCTACAAGACTGCAGTCCAAAAAAGAGGAAACAAGCATTCCATCCCTAAATCCAGCTGCAGATACTGTGAATCTTCTCTCTATGCCCTCCATTTCCACAAAATGCCTGCTTCAACCTGACAGTGAAGATGCTTTTGTAAGCACTATGCTTGGTGATTGTGGTCAATGTAGTTCCACTGACAACTTTCCATCTCAAACTACTGAAAGTAAGAGAGAACAGAGGACACAACTGGCTCCTAACACAGTTTCAACACGATTGAAAAATCAACCTTTTAACTTTGGTCTGAAACAATCTCAAAATGTGCCAAAAGAGTCCTCTGCAAAGTTAAGTATGTTGGGTCACAGACGAACTTTATCAGATGGGAGCCATTTTCAGGCCACAGGTGGGTAATTAAGAACTTCCATAAATCTTTAGGTTAAGCTGCTGATAAATTCTAAACTCAAAACAAGGTCTCTAAATCTTGTTTACATTTAAGTGGATAAGTTCATGATCAATGAGTTTTTTAAAAGAAATTCTAAATTTCAATACTATTTATGATATTCTGGGGGGCTTAAATGTAATATTCTTCATGGTACTTTATGCATGTGTAATTCTTCATAATAATTGGATCAATTCMTGGGGCTTTATTCAAGTGTTAATATTCATCCAGTTATTGGGTGATTAGTGCTTTCTCTCTACATCTCTTCTGTAGCAATAAAAAATAAATTGTGGTTGCCAGTAGCAGAAAGTATAGATGCAGATAYGCTACTTGAGCACCACTGGTCTGGTCTTAGGACATTCCCCACAATGTACAAGCCTCTTAATTTTTCTTGTGGCAGAAAAGCCACTACTGTTTGTGGTAGCCTAGTTTGCAAATGGCAAAGAATTCAAGAAGTCACATCATTTAAATTGGTCTTTTTTTTTTGTTTGGTCTTTTTTTCCCCTAGCTAACGGAGTTGCTTCAACCAATGATGTCTCCAGACTCCCAGTCCTGTCAGTTCCTGGAACTCTGCCCTCTCCATCTTCTCAACAAAGAAGCAATCACAGTGGTGTTTCAAATGAAAAGCAAAGCGCTGTTCACACTATCTCAAGACCTCGACCTTCTTCTCTGAGAAGTAAAATCGATGCGTGGCAGATTATCCCCCATATTATTAAACCAAACTCTAAAGACTCTGAATGTTTAGAGGGCAGTGTAGATCCAGATGTTAACTTCTTGCCAGATACTGAGGAAAGAACTAACTGCCACATGCCCTCATTACTTGATATTGATGTGGAAGGTCAAAACAGAGACTGCACTGTGCCTTTGTGTAGAATGAAGAGCAAAACTTGTCGGCCATCTATATATGAACTTGAGAGAGAGTTTCTGTCMTGAGTGCCTTTCATTTTAAAGATGTTTGCTTCATAAAGGGGAACAAATATAAAATTATTGTCCGTCTAATGCTTTGTGCTGCTGTTTTTTGATGTACTGTGACAAATAGTACCAAAATTGTTAAAATGGGCAGCTAGGTGTAGTAGGTGCCTTTTTCAAATATTCCTTGGAATCCCAGTTAATAACTCTAAAAGCACAATGCTGCAAAGTAGTATTCTAAGTGAACTCATAAGTATATTTTGGATGACTAAAGTAATATGCCCACCTCCCTCTGCAGTGTCACAGAAGTTTTCTTTAGGTTTGAGAGGTTTTGCTAGAAATTTAACTTTCTCACTTTGGAAAAATGAAAGACATATAGAACAAGCTTCTATTCTGTCAAGAAGAATTTCACCTAAGTGGTGGTCTGCAGCTTGCCTCTGTGGCTTGTAGATTCAGGGAGAGGGACAAGGCATTTGAGGCATTGGTACTGTTCACTCCTCATTAAGGAGGTGGTTATTTGCTGGCATTTGATATATTGAGAGAACTTACTACTGTGTGCATAAGTTTCTCCGGAAAGTTACACTGCTTGTATAAACATTTCAGTTTCAGCCACCATATCGATTTGAGAAGGTTAACTTCAGTATTGCATTGGAGTAAAGGTATTTGACATACTTGGTAATGTGAAACAGCATTCCTTGTAGGTAAGGATACACTGGAACGTAAATATTTGTACTCTTAACCTTTTGAAGACTACAGTGTTTGGGTTTGAATTTTTTGTTTGTGGTGGAGGGGTTTGCCCCCTTCTTGTTTTTTAAACTCTGCTGCACCTTGTATTGAAGAATGTTGGTGGGTTTTAAGGATAATTGGTTTTAAGTGAGCCAATGGTGCATTTTATTGCACTTAATTTTGAAACTGCTTTAATTCAACATGAAATCTTTCAGTATAAATCTCTGTAGCTTTTCTTCYGAAGGTACTACTGAGTGCCTGTTTACTTGTATTTAGGAATCAAAGGACAGAAACAGATGTGGTTGACTGGTTTTCAGTGATAAAAAGTTTCCAGAAAATTCCAAGTCATTAATTGTGGGGGGAGAAACATTTAGCTTTGATAACAGTAGTAGTTTAATATTTTATAGTATCACTAAGTGAATGATTAAATAAAACCAAATGTACAATGTGCTTTACCTGATTAAAGCATTTTTAGAATTAAAGGAACATTCCTCGTTTTCCAGTATTTGAAGTCTTAATTTTGCAGATCATTTGACATTTAAATAGTTTTCCTAAATAAAATTAGATAATGTTAGACTAAAACTACTGTTTCCATGAGAATACTGTTTTGTTAAGAGCTGTGTTTTAAATATTTTCTTCTCCTTTACTCTGGGGTCTGGGAGTTCAGTTGTCAAATAGAACACACAATTGCTTAAAGCTTCAAAACCAAGGGATTAAAAGAAAAAGTTTCTGTTGTAAGACTGGTATGCACTACAGTGTCTACCTTGAAGATGGCATACAATTATACAAATGAAATCATGAAGTCTTAATCACAAAGAGCAGAACACAGAAAATGGAACTTCCCAGCTCTCAAAGTGAAAATAGAAAAGGATTTCCTTAAAGTATTAGTTTATCAAAAGTAAAGACAAAACAACTAGTTGTCTGTAAATCTAAATACTTGCACAGCCGATCAAGTTACTGCATTTTCTGCAAACCTGTTTCTGTTGCAGTATTCTTAGTTTTTTGTCAACATGATTCAAGTCACRTTCTGTTCTTTGTCTTTTGTTTAAATTTTAATTTCATCAGAACACTTCAGTAGATTGTCTATTCCAGTTTTGATACAAARTGTTTTCATAAAATTATGTCATTAATCAAATTTTAATTATAGATTGATAGCACATTTACCTTCAAGGCTTAATTTGAATTAATTGTGTATATTTCAAATTTTTCTTATCAATTATTYCTGTATAATACTGAGAGAAAGGGAGCTGATTGTATTATATGTTTCTGAAGAAAGTATCTCTATTTGGCTTTCTACAGGAAAATCTCAGGTGCTGAAGTATTTTGACTTGTAAACTTCTGTTCTGTTCTGTTTGTATTTTTAAGGTTTGTATAATTTCAGGTGTTGCTTTGTAATCAATAATATCAGCATAAAAAGCTCTTTGAGCTCTATTGTTTTCACTCATTAGTGGYTTATCTCTCTTGCAATTAAACGGAGATTTCTATTCCTGTTCAGTGGGTACTTTCTATAAGATTGGGACATGATAYGGCCAGCCTGGTGCATTCTAAGTGATTTAGGAGTTTGTGTTCCATCACTTATTCTGAGACAGTTTAGGTAAGCAATCTCAAATATTTCTCTGATGTGATGCAGTTTTTTTAAGCTATAGTCTGTAGTGCTTTATAATTGTTTTTATAGTTTAAAATTATAGGCCAGTCTTCACTGTAATTAAAAAGAAAAAAAMATTCAATCATGGTTTCAGTCTGTAATTCACTTGTCACTAGAAAAATTTTCTGCAAAAATCTGGAAATCTGGTATGCATTACGTGACCTGTCTTGGTTAAAAGAATATTTATTTCAATGTAGGTGGATAGCCTGACCAAATAATAATTTATATTGATTGTTTYAGCATAAAACTGAAGGTGCTTATACTACAGAGATTAAGATGAACACTTGATATGCTGTTTTGCAAAACCTGATGATTTAAATGTTTTTATTTAAAAAATAAATGTTTTGTAGCTACTGGTTTGCCAAGTGACCTGAATTTTCTTGAAAAATATATTTTAATGCTTTCTTAACATATACAAAGGAGTTCTCTGCTGAAGAACCAGGAGCTTTAGACTATGTCCAGGCTGTTCTCAGAAGATTATAATGTAATTGTTACTCTAAGAATAATTATCCAGTACAATAACATGAACATTCCTATATCTTGCACTAGATGCGGGCAGAAACATATGGCATAAGCTTGGGTTTTTTTGTCATGTGACCATAATATGTCTTTTGCTGCTTTTTACAATGTTGKCTGGCTATCTTAGAGGAGATAGAGGATCTTAGTGGATATAAATAAGCTCAGCATCTCATTCAGCATCAAGAATACAGGTAAGCAATAATATCCTTCTGTTGTGGGGTTTTTGTTGGGAGGGTCCATTGGTTGTTTGGGTGATTTGATACCTTGAGGTTTTTTGTTTGTTTTGTGGGGYTTTTTTAGGCAAATGAAGCCAGTATTTTCCTTTTTTAACACCTTCTTTTGTGAACATCCCTCTTCCTTGATCATGTCATGGGGTGCATTAGCTCATTTTTCAGTTAGGAAGGATCTATTTGCACAGTGGCAACAGGTAAGATACAGTGAAATACAAATGGAATTATAGTGAATTATATATTGAATTTATAAGGTTGCAAGCCCAATCTCATAAAGACATGCCTATGCTGAGCTTACAGTGGAACTGGCTGCCTAACAGAAATTCACATGGCCTGTGTGTGTCACTGTGGCACCCAAGATTATAAACCAAGCTGCAAAGGCAGTTTATTTTATACAGAGTTATAATGGTAATACTAAGGTCTGCATACAAGTGTGAGGTAATAAAAAAGATCCCATTATCACCAGCCACCTTCTTTTTAATGTAACTAGTCAGATCACAATGGTGTACGAGTTATGAGGAGCTAACGTGACTGTTACCTAACACATTTTTGATACAGTTGCTGATACTTGAGATTGCAGTATTAGGTATTCCAAATAAGGGGCAGAGTCCTTGCAGTTCCAGTGTAGTAGATTTTTCCTGAAGAAACCAAACCTGTATTGTCATTAGCTAGAAGAACAGATACTATCTAAAGCATATCAAGAGYGTTATAATATGGAGTCATCACTCATCACATCATTTTGAGAAACTCTACAGAATGAGTATGTATATTCCTTAGGCCTACAGAGCTACCGTCAGGTGCCGTTTCAAACAACACAGTATGTTTGGAAGAAAAGTATGCCTATTACCAATTTGCATTTTTTGAACAGGTTTCTGAATTATTTCCAGCAAGTCAGGGGTACTCATTGTGTTTGCATATTATGTGCTTGTAGATACTAAAAGCCAAGAGAGATACTCCTAAAGCTGTAAATACATCCCTAGAAGAGTTTTTCCCCCTTTACCTTAAAACCTTTTAATACTTTCAGGTAGAAGAACTTTCAGRGTTTGCAAGGAAGAGAAATGGCAGTACTCCCTCTTTCTAGTTGTGTTTCAGACAGGTAGAGGGGGTCTGGCTTATGTGTGCTCCAACAGATACTGCTGGAGGTAGTCCCATGATAAAAGTATAGTACAAATATACATACAGTAAATGCTTTTCAAAAAGGAAAAATAACCTCAGCTTTTGTGTGCAATGACTGTAGTGCTGGTTTTGAGAATTATTAATTTTTGTGATACCCGATGGATTTTTTTGAATACCTGTGGAAGTCAGAATAGAATGAGGCTGGATTACAGTTGAAAAGAAGCCTAAGTAGAAAAGTTTTGTCTTTGCTTCTTCCTTTTCTGTATAGTCCAGTTTAAGTTTCTCTTGCTGTTAACACTGAAAAATCCCAGAGATCCTGTAGTCCACAAAAGCCTTCCTGTAAAATAAAGTGCTTAGAAATGGCAATTCAGGACTTATCGTGTGAAGCAGTGAGCTAGASTCATTATCAGTATCTAATTCTTGTAATGTAAGCCAGTTGGCTTTTTCTCACTGGAAAGGAAGTCAGAGGATCAAAACTGCAGAGTGTTGGTTCAGCATGGTGTAAGAGACGACAGGTTGGGTGACACCATATTGGGTGTGAGTGTTGATCACTGAGAGTAGGAAGATTCTGTACAGAGATCTGGATGGACTGGACCAATGGGCCAAGGCCAATTGAATGAAGTTTTGCAACGTGAGGTGCTGGGTCCTGCCATTGAATCACATTTCTCTCACACAGAATTTGTTTTGAGTCATACCTATGATCAAAAGTTAATTTTTCTATTATTTTTCAGCATATACTCAAGTCCTTCTGGTACTGAAGTCTAGTTTTGTCAGTTTGAAGWAAGGAGATTGAAGAGTATCCTGTTTTCAAATAGGTTCACAGAGATTTYCATCAAAACCTCTAGTTGTTCTGTTTTGGACTACTGAGCAAGCATATGAATCTCTAAGAAGTAAAGCAACATTTCCATCAGTTCCCCATATTTAATAAGCCTTGCATTTTATGATTTGTACTCTGGTCATGAGGCTTCTCATAAATTACACTAATTGACTTACAATCTTGTTCACTGTATTAAGACTTTCATCTCTTCCTCATCTTTGCTGTGGTTTATACATCTRAGATTAGTTTAAATCACTCTTCTCTGTCATTGCTCTATTGTTACCATATTTATAAGTAAATGCATCTCTCCTCATTTTAGGCCAATGTTCAGGTTGTCTTATTCCCCTGTGTGCCTTTCTCAACTGCCCCATTCAATTCTTATATAAAATCCTCAGTAGGTTAAGAAATCAAAATGCTGCACTAGCTTGTCTAGGTAGGCTTGTCCCCAGAGGTGTCCAATATCAAAGAGTTAAAATCACTGAACCTAAGTRTTATCAGTTCAGTGACCTCTCCCATGCCACTTTCAACAATAATTAACAGTGCTGTTTCAAGGAAGATTTAAAAAAGTGTGCCCATGTAATTGCATTGAATTGATGCAGCCAGTTTAGTTCACAATTGAGGTTATAAAATACAAGTACTTTAGGACTTCTGCAAATTGTTTAAAARGCCAGTTAGATGTAAGCTTCTAAAAACATTTGCTTACATTGGAATGAAATAAATAATGTTCCTTTACTCTTTTACTGATACATTTTAATATTTTGTCTTGAAAATGCAATATTGAACAACATCTTCGAAATGGCTTTACTTTTCTGCAGTTTTCAGTGCAATAAGTTCAGCAGGAAAGTTACAGCTGCAGGCAGTACAAACTGGAGATCACACCCTGGCTCCAGGGCAAGCTTGCCTTTTGATGTTTGGTGAGTCATTCAATTTCTTTTTGCTTACACTGCAGTGCTGGTCTGTAAGATGAGCACAAGGACTTCATCCTTTTTCGTGAAGCACTTTCAGAGCTGCGATCAAAGGCACCATATTTTAGYGGTAAACAGCAGCTGCAGCAGTAAATGCCTTGACTTCACACACAAAGGGGAGCTCTAACTCAGCCTGAGAACTGAATACACCACAGCTGTACATACTTTCCTTTCACAGCACAGGCTTCTTGCAAGTTAAAGTTTAACTTTGGTAAGGAACAATTCCAGTCACAACTGGTTACAATGATTTAGCCAGGAACTGCCACATTAGGGAAATAATTACACAAAGTTCAGTGTTTGGTTTTGGTTGGTTTGGTTGGGTTTTGTTTCAAGATTCCCATGACTGGTCAAAGCTTTTACAGCTTAGGATTGATTTCCCAGTTCATAGAACAATTTTTGTTATGTTTCTCTGCCACCCAAAATTCCTTAGGATACTAGGTATTTTCCTTTGTCTGAATCAAAGGATCCTATTTCAACTACTGCTGATTAATACTACTCTGATAAAGCTGTATTAGTTGGTTGCTCCTGTTTTATGAATGGGCAGCAAATAAGCAAATATTCCCTGTAGAAGAATGATGTTACAGCTTATTGCCTCAAATGTCAGGATAAGTTTGTCTTTTTCACCAAAGCATTGTCTCTTGGAACAGCTCCATCTTTACCTTGGAGRAGGGATTTAATGAATTAATGTGAAGCATAAGGATGAGGGAGGAGAAGTGTTACTCCATCATCTAGATTTAGACTGTACAGAAATAAGTCCTTGCTATGAACTGGAAGAGCGAGCTCTGAATGGGTCTCTAGAGGCTCAGTGGATAGTATGGAAAGCCTTGGCTCATAACTGAGCTGCAGAAGTCGAGTGCCTAAAGTTGTRCTGTAAATCTCATCTCCCTAAAGTACAGATTCTGCAGCAGTACATTTGTGGGAGAGACAGAATGTTACTGCCAGTGTTCACCACCACAGCATCTGTGTGATTTCAGGGCAAGGCAATAAGCTTGAAAGAATACATGGTTTAAAGCCTCCAGCTTCAAATTCCAGAGGTAAGCAAATTGATGGCAGAACTGCACAGTAGTGCCGTGTCATGCCAAGTTTCGGTTCTTTAAACAAGCCAAAATTCTTAAAGCTAACCACCTACACGAGCTGAGGAGGTATTTTCTATGAAGTTTTTACTGATTAATMATTGCCCTTTTGTTTACCTTTACGTTTTTGATCATGCAGCCTTCTGTGCTACTGTGTCTGCACCCTGCTTGCTGTGTTTGTACACAAATGGTAGGGCATTCACAGCCAGTCCCATTTGTGTCATTGATACATTGTTTGTGTTTAGAAGCAGAGCAGGTTGGGACTTTWCAATTATTCTTTTTTGACAAAAGAAAAGCAAAACTGTCAAAGCCAAAAGTTTGTCCAAGTATGTGTTTGATAATCAGTTCATCTCAGTCAGATATCCAAACGATTTCCCATCACTGAGAAATTATAAGTCTCTTCATGAAGGAAGGAATGTCTTTAAGGGACACTTTGTATTTCATGTATCTTGGATTTTTTATGTTAATGCTGATTTTCCAATTTTTTTAGTATTTTGAAGTCCAGTTTATCATACAAAAGCTTGAAATGGATAGATGGCAAAAGCTCTTGAGTCTTTTCACCTGGGACAGGGTCATTCCAAAGAGGAATCTACTTCAAAAGAACATACTTAGGGTGCAATGCTGAAAAACAAATTCTTAA